TGGCTTGTAAACACTGTTCAGACGAGATCAGTTTTTCATCAGAGAAAGCAATATTATGGACAGAGGACTATTTTAGCTGGAAGGAAAAAATAAATGTCTTGATGGATTTGTTTCTCACAAACACACAGCTTTTGGCTTCACAAGATGTTAATCATGGACTGGAATGGTGTGGACTATTTGTGGATTATTGTGATGTTGATCAGCTGTTTATCAGCTGTTTGGACTCTCATTCTGACGGCACCCATTCACTGCAGAGGATCCATTGGTGAGACAGTGATGGAATGCTACATTTTTATAGGGACAAGTACTAAGCAAAAATCAAGCACCACTGAAAATTTAAACAAACAGCCAATCAGAAATGTCTCTTCTTCAAAATATCTTCTTCTCTTCAAAATATAATCAAATATTTTATTGCAAGTAGGTGCTAAGGTACTAAGCAATTCTGGTCAAAGGCCAGTCATAGGCACTACAGTGGCTTGCATATACGGAAAAATAACCTCTTTGGCAGGTTGCAGGTATTAATTTCCCACCTTGGTTAAAGTGCAAAAATAAATAAATAAATAAACACACACACACACACACATATGAAAACAGAAGAAAAGGAAATCTTGCTGTAATATCAATGTAATATTGAGCATTTGTCTCATTATTATACTGCCTATTTCTGTTTTTATACTGTATGCCATTCTAAAACACTAAACACACTAAATGATTGAATCTCACAAAACAGTCCACAGCATTTCTTGGTCATATTCAGATATTTAAAATGAAAAAAAAAAAGAAGAAGAAAAGAAAAAAAAAATCAACTGCAGCATTCTTTCTATTTTTGTTTATCATATTTTTAATGTATAAAGGTCTCTAAACTGCATAAAATTGCATTAAAAAACTTTCTTACACTTTGTGTGTGTGTGTGTGTGTGTGTAATAAGCCGTAATGTACAATGTTTTAAACAAACAAACAAACAAATAAACATCCAGATGTATTGTGGTATAAAGAATTTGGGGGGAATGTGGTTAAATCTTGATGGTCCAAAAAATAATATATATATCTTATTATTTTTTATTAATTACTTTTATTCAGAAAGAATGATGCATCAAATTGATCTGACTTTCTATTTAAAAAAAATTGTAATAAATAAATTAACCAAGAATCATGAAAAAAAGTATTAAGCAGCACTACTGAAAATTAAGTTTGCCATTATATCAATTACATTTTAAATTATATTGAATTATCAGATAGAAAACAGTTATAATATTTCACAATATTATTGTTGTAACTGTATTTTTTTATCAAATAAAAGCAGCCTTGGTCAACTTCTTTTGCAAAGTGGTGCAAAGGAAATCTGACCTGGACATTTCAAATTTGTGAGTTTCAACCCAAATGGCCGTTTATCATCACACTTTTAGAGGTGTGATGATATTTGGGCGCCCCTGTGTGCCCGCACAACAGAGACTGTACAGCACTGTACGCACCTTCCCACGAACTCCCTGACTGGCCCATGAGGAGCCGATCGTGATGCCCATAATAATTAAGCAGATACAGACAACACAACGGAGGAGCTGCAGAGAGACGGAGACTGTGTGACCAGCAGAGACATGCACATACATGCTCACACATGAGGGACACTGATGGACGGGGTCCGTTTCTGTGATGTCTGGGGCCCTGTGATGTCTATAATGCGATTAGTGCTGGTCCTAATGATGGAGTTTCGAGGCTTAATGAGTATGTGGTGAAGGACTGGAAAACTAAAAAGAAAAGAAAATTTCTACAAATAAATGGATGAACAAATGTCTATTTGCAAATGACAAAATGCTACTGAACCTGAGCCGGCTCAGGAGACAAGCTGACAAACTCCCTCTCTGAAGCCTCAGTTGTCATCTCACATGTTTTGATGTAGAAGTAGTTAGTTAGTTAGTTAGTTTTTTTATTTTATTTTTCTGACTAGGAATAAATAGGAATAGTTCTCCCAAAAATGAAAATTCTATTCTATCATTTAATCACCCGTGTTGTTCCAAATCGGTATTATTTCACGTATCTAATGGCGACAGGCAGTGATGTCGGCAGTCATATTTATGCCAACTGTGTGAAAATGTGTCTTTGTCTCTTTGGTGTGGATTTGTGCAGAGTAGAATTGTTCTGGATTTAACCATTTTGAAATTTGAAAAATAGCATAGGGCCTAAATGAGGCAAATGAACCACGTTTTTGATACTTTCATGGGGGTTTGTGCCTTTTTTCTTTTTTTTTCTTTTTTTTTTTTTTAAGCTTTTTTAAGGTTTTGTTCTTTGTATGTGCTGGAAAAGAGCAACCTCATTTCGAAAGTCGTGAGTGAGAAAATGTTGACAGACTGTTCATCTTTGGTTGAAATATTGATAAGCTTTTGAAATAAACAGTGTAGTTTGGTTTAAAGGGATTGTTCACCAAAGATGAAAATTTGACCACACTTTATTTTAAGGTCCAATTCTCACTAATAACTATTTATTAACTATGACTTTTGCTTTAATAAACTAGCGAGCGTAGCGAGTGACCTGGCAGGTGACGACAGACACGAAAACTACAAAGGGCCGCTGGTACACAATAGAAAGTCGCTTTCGGTCATACCGAGGTGTGGCAAAGAGACGCAGCGTCTCATTCCCTTCTCGGGGAACATTTTGGTTACGTATTGTAACCCTCGTTCCCTGAAGGATGGAACGGAGACGTCACTTCGGTGACCAA